GTCCAAGTACATATACCTACATTCATACACTCCACTATATAATTGCTACCATCACTATCTCTGGCTGGTGCTGGTTTTGAAAGAAAGTAGCACTCACAGTCCTCACTGCTAGCCAAATTTTCAAAATTATGTACAGATTAAATAATCACATAAACTGAATTGAAATTTTTTTTTAAAGGATAAGGCTGAATCTTTAGACTACAGTCCTAATAAGCTCTGGGTTAGCTAATAAAATAACTTTGATCCTTCTTCTGTTTAATTTATGGTTTTCAACACAAATTTACAGGGGATAAAACTTGTCCAAGCATCAAAGTTCAAGACTCCACCTCCTTTTGCTGATAATGGCTCTGCATTGAAAGTTTTATTTAATTTGCTTTCTGCTAACTTCCCTGTATTCTCCCTTTCTAATTGTATCTATGCCAGTGAAACTTTCTTTCATTTTAATTTTCTTTCAACACCTACCTTGACTAAAACAGAGGCTGAAGTGGTGCTAAAATAAGCAGGAAGAAAGTTCAAGGAATTACAATTTGATGATAATAAGAGCATTGTAGGGACTCGTTAGAATTAAGCCATTGCAGAAAAAACTTCATCTTTCTGGGAACATGGCTCCATCCTTATCACATACATCAAAGGAACCTTCAGGATTCACAAGTACTTAGCAGACTGAAGCTCTGCTTTATAGCCATAATATACCAAAGAGGCAAAAAATATTCTGGACACTCTTGAAAACTACGACAAGGAAGAAATACAAGAGTCCTTCCTCTTAAGATCTGACTAGCCTGCAAAAACATAGGTTAAAATGTCATGTCAGGGTAAGAAATCCTATTAAGGGTGTTCATCAACTTGAGATCCATGCCTTGAAAAAAGAGCAGACTTCTAGGCTAGTTTCAAGGGGACTGTTTACACAAAACAGAATTGCTGGTATCTATAATCCATGTTGTGTAGGCAACACTTGCTTCTAGTAGTGATATAACTTTATCTATTGATAGGACAAAGATACAAGGAGAATATTACATAATAAAATATGCACTTGCATTTTATCTGTAGTCCCACTTTCACTTGATTTTTTTTTAAAGAGAAGCAGACTTGTGTGCAGAATATTGATTTTTTTTTTCCTTCTCTGCTGATAGTTCAACTAGGTAACACACACAGAATAAGATAGTGAGTCCAAGATCAGAGAAATCAACACTTGCTATCTTTAATATTAAAAGTTTCACTGATTACTCGCTAAAAAGGAAACCCCCTCCATTTGTATTGCTTCTAGGACCATAGTAGATAGTAAATTGGCAGTCAGTGCAGTGCCACTTCCTTTCTCAGAGCCTTTTGGCAGAATAATTGCCACAACACATTCCAAGACACAGCAAGTTTGTATGTGCACCCTTCTAATTGCTCTTTTGCCATCAACTGTCAAGATGCCCTACAACAGAAAAGAGAATGGTGCTAGAAAACTTGCCATACAGAGTGTATGGGACAGTGGTAATGGTATTTGAAATCCCTGCTGAAAAAGCAGTTCAAACCAGAGAGCAAGTTCTGCTTGCCTTGTCTTTTTTTTTAATAATCTTTTCATTTCTAAGGTTCTTAGCTACCTACTTGATACTTATTTCAACAGCTTTTCAGACACATTACTGTTCAAGCGCAGGCATTAGGCAACTCTCAAAAAATATCATATCTTTACTGTACTTAGCCTAAGGTTAATCAGTAAGTCAGTCCCACAACAAATACAGCAAGATTATGAGTTTTGAGGTAGGTTGTTTAATCTGAATCAAATATCGTCACATTGAGTCAAGATTCACAGAGTAAAGGAACAAAGTAAATGGGACCAGACAAAAGAGTAGGCAGCTTCTCAAGTGAAGTGAAAACCACAGAGAAAAAGACTAATGCCATGGATGACACTGGAGAGCTATGAAAGCTTCCTTACCTGGACTGCAATTATACCTTCAGAGAAAAGAGAGATCTTTCAAAACTTAAATTTAAAAAAAAAAAAATACTCTCTTCCATCTCACCTACAGGTAAGCAAGATTCAAAAGAAGTGTTAACATAGGTGAAAGACTTTTTACATGAAGATAACTGTGACATGGAAATAAGAGTCAAAATCCAGATAAGTGACAGACCATCCTGAAGTTTAAATGGGCCTACAGTACATCTTATTATGTTAAGAAAGAAGTCACTTCCAAACCACAACAAAATTTTGGGCAATTTTAAGACATATAAACTAGAGATATATTTAACAGAAAGAGTTATGCATATGTTTATAAAGATCAAATGATCCATTACTGTTTGCAATTCACTTTTGTTACAGGTGAAATATAATTTCCTCCTGTATTTCCTGTTCTTTCAATAGCTTAAGAATGTCACTTTCCTTCTTTTCTATTGAGCAATTATTTTTTTACAGAATCAATATGCTACATATTTTCATTTATAAACTAATTTGATACACGCACATCAATATATAGGTAGTGTAAGCAATATAACATCTTAAACTGTTTACTTTGTTTGGTATTATAAGGTACATTTCCTTCAAATTCTGCTAAAGGAGAACAATACGATGTGTTGTAGAAAATGACCTTGCTCATGAGATATGCATTACCAGAGAAACACCAAGCACTCACCACTCACTACTTCACTATTATTGCCTGCTATCTACCAGTTTGACACTATTCAACAAACCTCTATTACAAAGAGTGAGATCACATGCAGTAAGTATATACAGAAAGCCTTATTTATATATTTAACAAATATATTTAACAAAGTAAGAATTACACAATCTTTTTTTTAAGTTCCAAGTGTAAGACAAGCATTGAAACACACACTACAGGCACTTACATGTATGAGTTAACAAGTCCCCATTACAGAATTTGGAAACTAAGCAATTCAAATGCTTTACTGCAGTACCAGAAGCATGATAAACTCAGGAAAACATATCTGTTCATATGGAAAAAAAGAAAACTCATCCAAAATTATTCACAGAGTGAATGCATAGTCTTGATGCTATCAAACAATTAAAAAACCTCTCCACCATCTAACAGTAAACCCAAATATGAAATACCACCAATGCTTTTAGGGAAAGAGTCTGGGAACAGCTATGTTTTCTATTAGGCTGAATTAACTGTTTTAATAACTTAGTATTTTACCAGCTTGTCTGAATGCACAGGAACTTCTTACACTTACATTATTCTACAAATCTAGATTAAGGAGCTAATTTAAATGGTTTCCATGCAGTTAATGAGATAAGCTATTTCTTAAGGATATGGTTTTAGGAAGTTAAATACCAGAAGTATTTTATTCTTGGAAACAACTTTATCCTGTTAAACAAGAGGTAATAGCTAAGACCAAGCAGAACAGATAAAGAGAAAACAAAAAATTTTGAAGTCCCAAACAGATCACAAAACTATTTCTAATATAAAATAGAACAATAGTATCTTTAAAAGAATCATCGCATGCTGTGTTTCTCTCGTTTAGGTGTCCAAAGTTATTAAACTATTGGTCCTACAGTTAACCCATTCCTGACAATGGCTGCTTACTGCAGAAGAGAGATTACAGTTTTTAAAAACAAAATAGCATGTCTCAGTCTGGAACATGCATTCTTTCCTTTCTTAAAGCCACCTGGACATCAGACAGAACTGCTCATTTTCCCTGTAACCTGTGATCTTCTCTTCAAAGAAAGAGATGCAAACTTTTCCAGCTGAGATTTAAGACTAACCTGGTAATCATGCAGAAGCAAAATGCATGTGGGCAGGAGAAATTTAGCCATAAAGCCTTTCTCCTTCACAGCTTAGGTTTCATTGCCAGGGAAATCAGTGATGCCCTGAGCATTAATGGACTTGTCTCGTTCCCACAGCATGGTTAGCCAGCATGTAACTGCACTGGTTGCTAGGGAGCAGCGAGCTCATTACACAGCATCACCAGCACCCTGCACAAGGATGCTGGCACACGCTCCCCATCTGGGACACTACGGACTGAGGAACAGCACTGCAGTGCCTGCCAGCTCCAGTCTCCCAGGGCAGAGCATGCCAATACAGCAGGTGCTAACTTTAGCTCTACCTTCAGTGTTTTACATTCCAGTTTCCTGAGCCAGGCAGCGCAACACAGCACACAAAGAGGGCAGGATGGTCTCCACAGCTATTGGCATGGATACCCCTTACTTTTAAAGGTCAATTCTAGACAAAGATGCTCTTCCTGAAATTTTGGCAGGTGTATGGTTTCCACCACCAGAGGAGTAAGTGCCAGTATTCTAAAATCTGTGCTAAAGGAAAATTCAGTAAAAATGGAAAAAGACTGAAGAAAATACTCTTTTCAGTCATTAAAGAAACAGTATATGGAAGCATTTAAAGAAGACAAACAGAAACCTTGTGATTTTCAGGCTGTACACAGTAGATCCCTAGAATGGATGTCAGCTGTGAACAATCTGGGTCACTTCAAAGTCTCAACATGCAACCTTAATGCATTTTTTCAGCTATTTGTCTCATTAGCACTCCACAGATCTCTTCAAAATAAAAGAAAAAAAATCTGCCACAGAATAAAGAAGTCATCCCACTTCTACATGCCAGAAAATTTATTAACTAACAATCTATCTGCATTACACAGAGATTGCAGCTAATGATTTTCCTGTACCTGTCACTTCAAATGCCATCCAATAATTCTTAGTCCTGGTGAATTAACAAGCACATAAGGGAATACAGCTGTAGATCTGCATAGATACCCATACATTCAAATCCTTAGGCAACTTCAAAATGCCTTTTTTTTTAACAAAATGCATAAAGAAACATAAAAAGGAATGAGACAGAAGGCAAAAGGCATAGAACAACAGCTTTGTTTAAGGGGGATAGGTAAACACAGAAGTGTTTCACAGAACTTTCCCCCTGACCTGAATTTAAGAAGACCAAGACACAAAAATTCTCACCACTAACATATGAAATAATGTAGTGGGCACTCATGTATCAGTTAAAGGCATTTCAAAATAAGTGATTACTTTGAAGCAGAAATACATAACTAAGCCTTACCTGTCTCAACAATTTTTCAACAGCTGACATTACCATGAGCCCTCTCCACACAACCGGGGCAGTCTCTTCTATCAAGAAACCCATAGACATGCTGAAACAACAAACCAAAAACTTGAGCTTTACAGCACAATACCAAGTACATCTGAAATGAAGCTTGAGTTAAATAAAAACATATGCTCACCATGCGATTCCATAGTTCTTAAGGGGCCTCATTAGATTTTCTAAAACAAAGCAAACAAGGGGTTTTTTTTGGAGGGGACATGGTTTTAGGGTATTTTGGGTTTTTTAAAAGAAATAAGCTTACACATTTTTTATCTTTCTAGAGCAGTTTTCCCTCTCTATTTAAACAGCTTTATTTTTCCCCCTCATCCCTTAATTAAATGTATGGATTTAGCTATTCTGCCCAAGAATCTGACTCCACTTTTTCTTTGGTTGTTACATTTTACTAATAACATTCATCTTTTGCCAGAATAACAATGTATTTGCCCATAATATAATGTCACTTTGTGCTGCCAAAATCAATTTATTTTTATGAAATCCCGATGCTGAAAGGCATAGATTCACTATCAGGAATCACTAAAAGCTGAGTCATTTATATTGGAACAAAAGCAAAGTCATACAACATGGTGAGACTTGAATTCTTATTTTTTAATCTATCTTATTCACTAATCTCATGAATCAGAAGAGATTAACTTCCATTAACATACCAGAGATTTGGGGAACTTGTCTCCTTCTGTTAAATCTGCTACAGAAACCCCAGAGTAGAGATACCAAATAAAGCTATCCCTAAACTATACATTGTGAATAGCTCCAGGTAATTAGTCCCAGATTTCTTCCGGTTGATAGAAATCTGCAGGACTTCTAAAATTTCTGTAGGAACAAAAGATATTCATTTGAATGTTGCAGATGTATTGTCCTTGTCATATGTCTTATTCCTATGCCCTCCAGTGTCAAGAATAAAAAGCAAGGAGGGAATATTGTAATTGTTCTGCTGGCAAAGGGGTGTGCAAGCAGAAAGCAAACAAAACAATAAAAAAAAGAAGGCATTCAAAACAAAATCTGTCAAAAGCCAAAACTCTTCCTTGTGGTTTCTACCATCTAAAGCCACACCTTATCTGCAAATGGCACACACACTCACAGAAAAGAACAAATGGCATTTTATTTGGTCTAACTGGTATCCTGGAAGAGCATGCACAGGCAGAAACTAGCAGAAAATAGGAAGAATACTTTAAACAATAGAAAATATACTATAATGCAGATTTTGACAGAAATTCTAGATGCACCCGTGCAGAATATTGATAAGAAAGTAAAATACATAAAGAAAGTAAAATAAAAACAATGTGAGTAAAATAAAAACAGTGCATTCAAAGCTGAACTCCAAATTCAGACAAAATAACAACCAAGAGCATGCAAATTAAACAGCTAAACTCTACAGATGAAAGCTTTCAAGCAATCAAGTAAGTGAGCATTCAAGCCATGTAATTTTGTAGAAATATGGTGGAGAATAAATTGGATGTTTTGGTTTACAAATCAAAAAGAACAAAACAGGAAGATAAACAAATCACTTGTATGACTATTGCATTCAGGAATGAGTTGGGAGCTATTACTGAAAAAAAGACTGGCATGAACTGATACACTGCATCAGTGCATACAGCTCTTCTTGACTTGTGCAGCTCTTCAGTGTTGAGTCAGGCCTTACTTAGGTGGCTATACTTATACTGTTTAACCATATTTCTGGCAATCACAGTCTTACTTCACCCCTGCAGTAAGACAGTTTAGTTATGAAGAGGCTGATGACATTGGAACATGAGCCATCTCTAGGCACTGTTTTGGTGACCTGACAAACAATATATACACCACAAGTTAAAATACTGTCAGAAGTATTAAGAGAAATTACTACATATTTACCTAAGAGAGTGGTCAAAAAAAGAAGGAATAGGAAAAAAGTATTTGCAACGTTGTATACCACTGCAGACTCAAAGATTCCTTCATTTTTTATTACGAAGAAGGGACAATTTTAAGACAAAACAAAACAAAAATGGGAGGCCAAGCTTTAACTGCTGATCACGAGGCTCAGGAACTGGAGAGTAAGATGAATGGAAAAGATGCATTATTCTGGGAAGCTCACCAAAATATTAAGCCACTTCTCAGTTCAGTCCAGCTGCTCTACACTATGTGAGTCAAACACACAGAGACATCTCAACATCCACTACCTGCGTGGACAATTTCTTCTGCACAGAGACCAAGTACACAGGCCGAGCTCACACACCTTCCAACATCTCCCTCTCCTTCATAAAACAGGAGAGTTGCTGTGAGTAGATAAACAATGACCTACAGAGCAGCAAAAGCAGCCTCTGTTTTTAAGAATATATGCATGGTTTATGTCTCAACAGCAGAGTTTCCTTTTATTAAAACTGCAACTTATTTTCTTTGGTTAACAACAAGGATTATAAAATGCTCTGAGCAGCAAGATTTAATCAAATTTATACAATGCAGAGGAACAATTCACAACTTGCTGTATATACTGGCTATAATGTTCTGCATATTTTCAAAGTAATACAAAATACTGCAGAGCTCCCTACTGTTTGCCTACTGCTAAAAATCATTCTTAAGACTAATCTCAAATCTAAAGTGCTTCAGTGGGCATTGGTAATCACCCTTGTCTCATCAAAAGCAACAGGCCTTCCTTCCCTTTCGCTGTGGGTCTCATGAAGATTTCCTAAAACATAACATGTAAGGAAGATTTAGCTTAATGAGATCTCAGTAACATCTCTAATTCCCATTGCTTTTAGAGTACACTTTTCTGTTATCAGAAGCCTACCATACAGCTCCAAAAATTCAACACACAACAAAACAGATTTCAAATCACAACACACAGCAATACCTTTGCCAAGAGATAAATAAAATCACCTAGTCTGCAATTTTCCAGTAGGCTTGGTAGCCCTAAGTAAAAGACTGCCGTGTTTTCTCTGAACATACAAAATCAGATCAGTAAGATCAATGTAGCACCAATGATATGACAGAAAATGTCTTTTCTGATTGAATACAAGTAGGGCACTAGAAAAGGCAGATGTGCCTCCATGAAAGCATTATAGCAGATTGCTGATTAAGAGAGTTCTGGGACTGGTCTGAAGATTGAATTGTTACTCACACGGGGAAGAGTAGCACTGATGTAATGAAGATGGATGTTCGTTACATCAATGAAGATGCATTTTGTAATTATTTTTCACCAAGCTTTGTCTCCCCAAACAAATCCAGCCTTGCAAACAGACTATCCTAATAAGATAACTGTGTTACTCCACATTGTCTCTAAAATGACTGACATAGCTGTTCAACGAGGGCCAGGGTCACAGGGTCAGTAGAGCACAAAAGGTAAGTACAGAACTACATTACATATATATATATATATATATATATCTGTATGTATATGACTGGAGTACAGTTACATTTCTTCACAGTAGCTTGCATGGTGATATGTTTTGGATTTGTGATGAAAACATTTTCAAAAACTGTTCTGCTTCTCACGCCACCCCAACAGCAAGCAGGCTGGGAGTACACAAGAAAGTGGGAGGGGACACAGCCTGACCACAACTGACCAAAGGGATATTCCACAACATACAGCCTCATGCTCAGCATATAAGCTGGGAAGACAAAAAAGAAATGGGAGTACATTCAACATTATGGTGTCCGTCTTCCCAAATAACAATTACACATGATGGAGGCCAGGGTTAAGCCACAAGGAGCCATTCCAACTCTTGGCTTAGAGTTTGGAAGTAGTTTGTTGAGCAAGCAAAAGCTTACGATCAGTCTTACCCCATCAGGTAAGTAAAGAATGTTATGCCACAAGATTGTGATGTTATGCTACACCTTAGAAGTTATTATACTGCTTACAAAAAGCAAAGGTAGCTTATACAACACCCTAGCAATTGTATTTTGAGCTCCCTGGCTCAGCAAGCACAAAGGCAGAAAAGTTGCTCTGAGTTTTCAAGTATTTGAACTAAGGAGAAAACTGGCGTTTCTGGGAGACGGACAGACAGAAGGAAGACATTGGACAGGAAGAGTAAAAAAACTGGTTGGGCTTTACATGCGTAAACATAGATATCTGCCACTCTGGATGCCTTAAGAAAGCTGGGATTTGTACATGGCTAGCAGATTTGACAGAGGGCACAGGGAGGGACACCTTCTGAAGGGGCAGCTAGAAGCCTGACACCATACTCCAGGCTTGTTTAAAGTAGTGCTGGTTTCTTAAGCAAAAGCAAGTGAATTCAACCCACAGAATGGTAAAGAGCAAAGAAAAGCCACAGAGGGGAGAAGAAGTAATAGCAACAGGCCCCCAAGGTACTTTGAAATAAAACCATGACACCAATCTATGAAAGAGGGTAAAGGATGCCATCACCAAAAGGTTAGTCAAAGTCATAAATTTTAAATCCTTGCTTTAACTGTAATCATTGTTTTAACTGCTTATGCCAGAAGCCTAGAATATTCTATGGGAAGTGACAGACTAATTGAGACTTCAGGCTTGATTTCACACTGTGTCGTAATTTTATTTGCAGATTGCCCCAGAAATACTACAATTTGTATTTTAAGCTTGAAGAGCTCCACACAAGGAAGTCTGTGATTGCCCATTACATCCTGCACTAATAGTGTTATCTAACCACAGAGACATCCCAAATACTTAACCAAAGCAAACTAGTAATGAGACTTAAAGAGCATAATTCCTTGCTCACAGTTCAATTTCATGAAATATGTGCATAATGAAATGCAACTTTCCCCTAGAGATTTGATTCTTGTATTTAGAGGGTCTACCAGTCCCATTACCTGAGAAGGTATTACACTTTTTTTTTCCTCCCGACAGACTGCAGAGGAAACAAAGCTCTGTAAAAGCTTTTTCATTAACAGAACAGTATTGCAGATATGACTTCAGCAGTCCTACCTAAAAGCAAAAGAACTAATTGCTTGCTGGAAGACTGTACTTCAAAAGCAAATCTGGCACCAGTAAAGAGCACAGTGATTTAGAAACATCTTTGTTACATTTCAAAGCAGCACTGACTTGTTAGGTTTAAAACACAGGGCTAGTTTTAAGCATCATGCCATTACCTTCCATCACAAATGTCTTCCTTATGATTGCTAAAACAACCCACATTTTGAAATGCCCTCAGATCCCCAAGTAGACAAAAATTTTATTTAGAGTGGATCAAAACTTTATTAGACTAATTTAGGCACGTTCTTTTAGTTCATTATATCCACAAAGAATTAAGTAGACTAACCCAACATTCAGTTTAAGGCATCTGCCCTGACACACAAAAACCTCTGGGAAAGCTCATGTCATTTGAAGCAATGACTTGCTGCTGTGACAGGGGGACTGCCCTGGTCAGTCACATAACAGGGTGCCAGACAGCAGAGCCCAACAGGGAGCAGTGGGAACCCCAGAGGCAGAGATGCATCAGCTTTAATTTAAGACACGACTTCAAAAAAAACATTGCACTTAACTAAGGATTTCATTGCTTTCAAAGCAAAACTAGAGAACTCAATGCAAGTGTGTCAATTCAGCCTTTTTAGGTTCAATACTGTAATCAAGGCACACCGCACCCCCCAAAACAAAAAAAAGGAAATTTAGGAGAAAAAAAAAAAAAAAACTGTTCAAGGGATTCTGCGTAATTGTGCTGATTTTGGCTAAGACAGAGTTATTGTTTTTCATAGTAGCTGGTATGGAGCTGATTTAGACTTCTGATAAAAACAGTGTTAATAACAGAGGGATGTTTTTGCTATTGCTAAGCAGTGCTTACACAGTCCATGTCTTTCCTGCTTATCACCCCACCCCACTAGCAAAGCAGGCTGGGGGTTCAAAAGGAACTAGGAGGGGACACAATCAGAAGAGCTGATCTCAAGTTACAAAAGGGATACCCCACACCATAAGGCATCACACTCAGTATATAAATGATTATGACCATCAACTAAAGCAAAGGGAAAGAGATGCTAGCCTTTCAATTCTTATTGTCACTTTTGGCCTCTGGGCTCTACAGGGAAACGATTAAACCACTTTTTTCCTGGTTTTGATCTATTGTGCTTCATTTCTCTATTAGGAAAAGCCACTACATTGTACTGCAGAGAAGGAGAAGGAAAGAGAGAAGTCACAGCAAGAAGCCCATTGAGGAAAAAAAAAAGCTGAAGTGAAACTGCAAGGTAAAAATACTCAGAAAATTCAGAATTAGTTGCACTCCTTCAATTTTTCTTCTAGCAGAGAAATGGAAACATTTATTCCTCTGAAATAAACAATGTAAATGTGTTTAGTCTACAAAAGCATGATTTATTTCTTTTGTTTATGCATGCATAATGAAAAGAGTACCCATCATGTTTGTATAACAAAGCAATTTTGGAATTTCATTCCAGTTTTTATACCAGTTGAACAAAAAAAAAAATATTTTACCTCTTAAGAGTAAACTTTATAATATAGTAAGTACCTGCTAGCCACAATTCAAATAAAATAATTTGGAATTACTGCACCGCAAGATTAACAACATAAAGAGTAATACAAACCTGCTTTCAAATACTTCAAGCTTATTATTTCAGGTTACAGTGTTTCAGTAATTTATACTGGAATGGCATTTGATTTTTCTCTATTGATAAAATTTGATTTGCCATTTATCCAAAAAGACTGCTCTCAGTAAGAGGCTTTAATTGCTACATTACATTTCTCATCTTATACTTTTTGTAATTGTATGAATTTATGTATAATGAAGAATAAAATTTTAATAAATTAATTCCCTAGAGGTTTTTTCCTTTTAAGTAGCCGCTAACAACTGTATGCCTATAAATAATTACTTGCAGAATTGCGTATCCGCCATCTCCTTTCCCTTCCAAGGTCTTTGATTTTCTCCACAAGTGAACTCACCAATAGCTGGACTAATCCACCTCGAGGTTTATTGTTACAGGTTTGACGGCAACAGTCAAGGTCCAGAATAGAATATTAAATATTCAAGTAATCATCTTATTTTCAACTACTTAATCACATTTGAAAAAGCCTCCAAAATGCAAACAACAATTAATTATAGCATTCTCAATTATTATTTTATCACATGTAAGACACATGGGACTACTGTATTTCCACCAGACAAACTGGGGTAAGACATCACCAAAAGTAAAACACAGGGTTTCAGTTACAGCTACCTTCAAAACAGAATCAATAAAACATATCATGAGACTATAGACAATCTAAAAATCACTTGCTCACCAATCAAGTGCTGGTATCAGCAGCAAATACTTTTTCTTAAAAATTAAATGTACAGGTTTGGTTTTTTTTAATTTATCATGATGCAGTTCCACTGATAAAGCATGATAAATACAACTTCAAGAGTTCAAGTCTTACCTTTAAAGGTAAATCCTTAGCAAACTTCAAGAAATTTCTTCAAAATAATTATGCTACATAATATTTTGTCTATTTTACTTGTCTACTCCAAATTTTCTATTTATGACCCTCAAATGAATGCACCACAATCACTTAATACTATTCCAGCAGACATCTTTAAACAGTCACAACTACTTTAAATTTTCACATTCTGTTATGAGAGTCTGATATCACAGTCTTAAGGTACGCAAATGTATCCCAGTGAAAAAATTCAGGTGCCCATTTCTGCAGTTCCTGCAATTTTATTAGATTCAACAGGGCAGCCACAAACACTGTTAGCTTTCTCTAAGAAATTACATTTTATTCTAAACTGTGAAAACAGATGTCTACTACTGATCTTTTGAATACACTATTTTATTAAGAAGTGAAAGGCACTGAAGCTATCATACAATGGCAATAAAGTTTTGAAATACTAAGAGTAGTCACCTGTCAAAGATTTATGCACCAAAACCTTCATACTCAAACTAAATAAAGAAACTTTATCTATCTGGCAAAATGGCAAATGTTTTTGGCAATACAATAGTTTTTACTCTCTGCCATCTAGTTTAAATGCCACGTTTAAAAGAAAAAAAATGAAATCATGCGATTCACTAAGCCAGAAAACTGCTTTTAAGTAAAATTACTTAGGGAAAGAATCAAAGTAATACTCTTGTAACTTATGCTATTAGCATTGCCCAGTATATCTATTGTAGCTAATGTTAATACTAATTCCATAGTTAGATAATCCTCCATTCGCTAATTAAATTCAGTGGTGAACTTATTAACCAACATTTCCCCGACCATTTAAAGTATTTTGAATGACAGCCTATTAAATGTTAGCAGACTTTTCAATGTACTACAGCTTGCAAAATTAAATTAATGTGGTATCTTCCATTTATGCAGACCCCTCACTAAAACCTCCCAATTCATTTTGAATGCTTAAATTATAGCATAACCATAATAATTTCTATTGAGAAGTAATAACTCCTGCATGGACTTATTTTGTATGGTACTGGGCATCCTTAATCCGTTTTCATGTGAGAAAGGAAACAGAAATCAACGATTGCAGAAGTGCTCAGAACCTCCCAGGATTACTCCACAGATTCATTTTCAAATTCATGCCTCACACTGAAGAAAGCATTAGAACTTCAAACTTTTTTTTTGATTGCTATGTTATGAAAAATGTCTTTAACTGAGTTATTGTTATGTGGACATAGTTTATGCATTTCTGAAACACAACTGCCTGGGCTCTCTCAGTTGGTATGCAGTATTTCTTCAGAGCTTGTTTTACTCTTGAAAATATAGTAAGAAACCAGATTATAACATTAAACCTCATTATAGCAAAATACAAGAGTCATACATGTTTTTATATCAATATATTTATATCCACCTCTATATGTACCATATATATATACATACACCTATGACTGATCACTTCTTTGCAAGCTTATCCCATCTGTCACTCATTAAAGGAATCCTTGATTAAATTTTAATTAAAGTTTCCTATGTCATTCCTACTTTGCAATTAAACCATCTTTGACAGTACTTCTCTTGCTGTTACTCGTCAGTTTCATCAACTCAATAGTTAAAAATACACAGAGTAGTGAGCAGAATTCCTGAAATACAAATTCTGTCTTGTTATTCATACCAAATTACTGTCTTTCTCAGCAGACTTGTGTCATCTGTCAAGCTTTTGAAATATACAAATTCATTTTACTGTCTGTTAAAAAAAGTTATGTTCTTTAAATCCTGATATTTACTTGTGCATTGCACGCAGAACTAGAAAAAATGTATTTCAGTGATCAAAATGTTAGTGCTTACAAGACAGCAGCAGAAGTTTCAGTTCAGGGAAATCTTCCAATTTTTTTTCTATTACATTGAATTCCACACTTCTAACAATGCTTGAAGCATGTTAAAACAAAGCTTACAGAGAATTCTATTCAGCTGTTTACAGAAACATCTAGTCAGTGAAACAAAACTGAGCTGCTCAATATCTGAGTGAGTACAGTCTTAAGTTCCAGCATTTGTAGCAAGTTGATTTGTACAACCACAAGAAACAGACTGGGCAATTTGCTTTTTAATTTGTGGCCCAAGACACAGATTTAAATTAGGTATGGACTGATGAAATACAAAGCAAAATGACCAAGGAATTCTAAATTATCTAATCCATTTTTCAGACAGTGAGGAAAAATTGGAGAGACAAAAGTCAACATCACATAAAAACAAAAAGAGAGATTTGAACACCACAACATAGTCCCTTTTGTGTTCATATTGCACAATGCACTTCAAATACAAAATTCATAGCAAAAAAAATGTGTTACAGGAAAACACAGCCTGTATGACATACAGCCTCAATGGAGTTTAAAGTACCAGTGAATGCAAGAATACTTTCATTTGTATCAGGAATTCAAATCCTACTGATGATACATGAAAAGGCCCAGTTATTTATTTATTTATCACACAGCAGCCTTTTGACTTCAAAAGATGCAACAAAAATTCAACAAATAAAACTAAGTACTCTCCTTCTCTCTTAGGAATTTAGCTAAATAAAACCTGCATTTGTAAGCTAGGTTCTTAAATGTAGGAAGTACTCAATCTGATAGCTGTCTGCATAAGCACATGCAGTGCATCAGTACGTGGAAATACATTACTTTTTCTTTATCCAGAGTACATGGCATAACCATAAAGAGACAGAATTTTAATTATATAAGAAATCCTAAGTGTGCCACATTAAGTTTTCAAAGGCTGATACTGCAAGCTTAATAACAAACCTGTAAAGATACTGACACTGTTTCATTCTGCACACTTTACACCAGGTGAGAACATATAGATCAGATAATCATATAAAGCTTAATAACAAACCTGTAAAGATACTGCACACTTTATACCAGGTGAGAACATATAGATCTGATAATCATATGCACACACAAATTAAGATGAGTTACAAACAAACATTCTACAACAACACTAGAGTAGATATAGAGGGATGGAACACATCTCTTGTGACGAAGCACTGAGAGCATCATGGCTGTTCAGCCTAGACAAAGGAAGCCTCCAGGGAGACCTCAGTGAAGCCTTTTAGTACTTACAGAGGAGTTGTAAGAAAGATGGGGACAAACATTTTAGCAGGACCTATTGCAATAGGACAAGAAGTAATTACTTCAAATTAGAAGAGGGTAGGTTCAGACTAGATACAAGGAAGAAATTTCTTACAATGAAGCTAGCAAAATGCTGAAACGGGTTGCCAAGAATGGTGGCAGACATGAAACACTCCAGATCAGGACATCTGAGCAACCTGATCCAGTTGAAGATGTCCCTGCTCATTGCAGGAGGGTTGGACTAGATGACCTCCAAAGGCCCCTTACAACACAAACCTTCCTATGATAAAAAAGAGAGGTCACGGCATGAAAAGAAGCAGAAGGAATATTTAACTTTCCTTTTACCTAGCAATTGCTGCCCACAAACATTGCAGTTGACTGCTTCACTGAAGCCCTTCTGTGTGCTTTCTTCAGAAGGATCCAAGTATGTTTCAATGCATCAACCAGCCGCTACAGTGTATGATTAGTTTCATATGTGGCTACATGTTTGGTTTTTGGGGTACACTTACAAGCTCTCTCTCACAGGATAATCAAAACAAGCTATTACAAAAACTGTATCACCCCAGTGTCCTTACCACCCTAAAAAACCACACTGCCCTACACTCAAACATGATATGAACAGGATATCAACATAAAGCCATGCTTCACTTTCATCCTAGGTTGGCCTGGGTGAAAGTTGAACTTCTGAAAGGTAAAGATACTTGATGGGATCTTTCTGCTTTGGGTCACCTTATTTTTCTGAAGACTGCTCCACCTGAATTTATGTTTTTCCAGAATTTTTCCTAGCAGAAGGAAAATTAGGAGTTTTATCTACTGTCTTCATCTTCTGGTAGCAAAGTGACCACGACTGTGTTCCTAAATGCACAACTTCAAATACAAATGAGTGAAGCGGCATGGCACATTTGGCATAAGAGAAATCAAACAGAATCATTTTAATGACATTTCAAACAAGCTACTGTAATGATCCTTCTCTTACTGTTTTTTTTTAGTGTCTCTTTCCCTAGATTAGTGGGTTTTGTTTTTTAACTGAAGGTTATCTATTGTAGGATACTATATAACAATTTTATACTACAGATAAATAACCTTGCCATCCAGAGTCTCTACCAAAAATCCATGAGACTGCATGGACCAAGTTTAATAAAAAATAAGACTCTGAGTAAGCTCCTAGTTGTACAAGGCAGCTTTGAAAGTAACCTCAGTATTAGAAACCAATAAATAAATACATACATACACACACTCAAGTCTTTATCTTCGGTTTGCATCCCTTCAGTGCCACACCAAGGAGGCACCCATGAGTGGACCTGCTCATCCCTGTACAGAAAACATAGCAAGAAAAATCCCTTCCACTTACTTGGTGTTAATTCTGGGTTTCCTTTTAAGTTCATCATCTTTGGAATTGAAGGTCCATATATGTCTGCATCAAGCAAACCAACTTCTTTTGCCTATGAAAGTAAAAGTGAAAAAGAAAAGAGGTCATTGTCAAAATGTCCTCCTTTCTGTATAATTCGCTGAAAAAATACAATACTGTTTAGAGAAATAAAAATAAGACCTTGATTTGAGACATCAGTTATCACTGTTTCCTTTCTATCTAAATAGCAATTGAAAAATTAAATGTAACAATGTCTGCAAGTTGGGTCAGTTGCCTTGACAAGAGCTAGATTCTCCCACAGAGAATCCTTACTCTCCACACAGAGAATCCATGCAGCTTCTTACTTAAATTGTAGACCACAGACTTTATATTAACAAGCATTATAACCAACATTCTCTCTATTCCATGTACTTTCATACAAAACTAACACCTTAACATTTTAAACAAGGTATCAAATTGTATTGTTAGAAAAAATCCAAAAAACAAAAAAAAAAAAACCCAACCCCCCCCCAAAAAAAAACAAACCTGAGGTTTGTAAGTATATGCAAATGAATGCAATTTAAGTCATACTAGTCATTAGAAAGAATGTGAAAAACATAAAAAACGTATTTTTATCATCCATTTAAGTGGCTAGAGTACTTTTGGAGACATCTTGAAGTGACTGAAATGCAAGCCTCTGAAGCTAGTTAAGCAGGCATAACATTTTAATCAAATATATTTACACAAAAGTATGCTAAAAATGGGCTTACTCAACTACATATGGTACATTAGGCAATAAACTTGAAATAAAAATTATTTCAGCTATGTAGTCTAGACTTACAAAACTCCTTTCTATATTCTTTTTTTAATAGATACACATACATACTTTGTGGAAAATAAACCATTTTTCTACAGATGGCAAGACATAGTACCAATTACTAAGTTCTGCAAATTAAGTGGTAAGGAGCACGCCCTTTAAAGTGCTGAATGTCAAGTTTCTCTGATATAGAAAGCTAACTGTATTCAACATTTTGCAAAATTGCAAATAAGCTTAAGAGCTTGTTTGAAAGGTTAAAGCAGCAAGAGGAGCTTTTCCAACAAAGCCAAATCAGACTTCCACTGTCAGTGTTTCAAAGTGTGTACTTCATTTTTTGGGTGATGCTTTCCTAATTTGGTTTCCTAATTTTTTATCATATTTGACCTACTAAGTACTTTAAAAAATAAGTTTTTACTGAAAAAATCAACCAAATTTGGAATCCTTCATTCAATATACTTTTTATTAGCAAAACAGAGCACAGCATATATAATTATACAGATTATTTAACATTTTTTAACACTTTTTCTTTATGATGTCTTCTGAAAACTATTACACAAAAGTTCAGAAGTTACTTTAACAAAGTCTTCTTGCCTTGTTGAAAGCTGCAATTTCAAAAACATTTAAAAGACCCATATTTATGTTAGACTCTAAAGACACAGAAAACAAACTATTAAAACTTCTTTGTTATTGTACAAAATGCGTATTTTAACAGATTAGGCAGATTCATGACTCAGTCCCTTGATCTGTGTCTGCAGCTAATCAAACCCATCAAAACATCATCTACAGGCTGTTCCACCTAATTCCGTCCCAAATTAAAGTAAGTAATTATAAAAAACCCTTATCATGTTTTAAACCTGATGGCATACTTTCCCTGAATTTCTTGAGGATTTTCCCCCTCATACAAGGACTGTGACTATTGATTGACTGCAATGATCTCACAATTCACCAGTTTCACTTTCAGACCAAAGGGACTAAAGATTTAAGATGACCTAAATTAATGAGAATGACTTTACGACCTCCTGGACACATAATCAGGTACTCACCACTACAGGCCACTCATTCCTAGGAGTCAGCAGCACTGCATCTACTGTATCTGTATTATCCAACCTAAGTGTACAAAACTTCCTCAACTAAAGAATAAATAGATCCACACTGGAGAAGAACATCCCAGAGGACTTCACAAATTCAGCTACTACTTTAAATTACCAAGCTAATAGAATAAACCTGACAATTTCTCTAAAAAACTTACACACTTCTTCAAAAGTAAGAGAAGTGCCTGTTTCTGACATGCACTGCTTTTCATGGATATGGACGTGGTTCAATAAAATTGTTGACTTCAAACAGAAGAATAATTAACAGATTCTCAAGCTTCTATGATTCATGTTAAAAGCACAAGTGTTCCTGTAAGCCTGGTGCTTTTACAGGATTATAGGAAAAAGGTCTTTCAGAAATCTTTAAATCACTGATAAAATCTCACTTAAGATAGCCTAAGGCAGGGTTTTTTTCTTTACCAAGCAATTCAACACGTTAGGTAAGTAGAGTTCACACTGCCTAGAAGTAGCAGCTTACACAGAAAGCTTTGGCCCAATAAGCTATGGTTTTATTTCACCTAAATATCCCTGCTTTTGCAGTATGTAAACATCCCTAGAATGCCAATAACCCTTTACTCAAGATTTAATTATCTCAGAAAATTATTATGGCAGCTACCAAGGGATTCTTTAAGACATGCACAGTACAGTCCAGATAATGTCTTCCAGCATTTACAATGTTTTAAATCCCCAAGAGAAGAAATAATATGCACACACCTGGATGCTACCACATGAAACTGCTAATCAGAATTACCAGATACTTCTCATGCTGAGTGAAATATAATCCAGTGCATGAGTTACAATAATTTAAAAATTAAATTAGGTTTTAATAAATTGTTTTTTCTCCCCATACAACCTAACCTCATATAAAACAACACATCTTTCAAAGCATTGTATTAAAACAAATCCTAAGAAAACATACTTAATATCACACAAGGTAAAGAAAACCATCTGGGCACAAGGAATAGATTATGGAGAATCAAAAGCACAACCAAAAAGGCAACTTATGAAAAAAGGAGGAGGGAAAAAAGCTCTAAGATGCCCCTTATGTCCTCTGACATTACTTTGATATACGTATACGTCTCATACCAATGGTGCATCTTTTTATTACTAATACTCATTACACAGACAGAAACGCAACACTTAAAGCATCCCCAAGCACATAGAAGTCCCCCTGGTACTAAGTGTTTTTCAGAGCACAGCACACACCACTGCTACAGCCTCCTTTGGCACTCTGGCAGGAAAAGGACTCAGAAAACACAAGTCCACCACCTCCTCGTGGCTGCATTTTCTCCTTATAAACATCTTGCTTTCCTGCGCTATTAAACAAACAGCATTCCATCTCTCCAGATGGCATTGCAATAACCAAGCTCAAAACAGCTGTTCTCAAGTTAACATTTGTCCTTTTCCTTTCACCTGCCCAGCTGTGAAAGAAAGTTTGAATCAATCTTCAAGTTTACTACACTTGGAAAATATTTTCTAGAAACTTTGTTTTTGGTTGCCTTACTGAAAATTCTGCAGCTTAAGCACTAAAGATACAATTGACAATGTAACCATTCCCGTATGATTTAATCATGGTCACTGGAAACTACTTTGAAAAAATACACAAACACATGCAGTATCATTGACCTCTTCATGCAGCATTAGATCCTTATCAAAATTCCATCAGGCGGAGACCATGAAATGAGAAATAAATACATTGTCAGCACATGAAAACACAAAAGTACTCCTATGTCAGCAAAAGCTTTACTTAAAAACTCACAAACATTCACATTTACCTTCTTATCAACACTTCTAAGGCTCCCCCACCACAGAGTCTCCAGCACAGGCTTACTACCGCTAGGATTTGCTCTTTCAGCAGTACTGTTACTGTCATGGTCTCATCTGATCACTGGTGACCTCAAGAACATTAAAAAAATTACAGAATAAAGAACTATAACTCCTCTTCATCTTCTACTTTTAAATCATTGACTAAGTAATTCTTTCTGCTTCACTATCATTAATCTTCTCAGCAAAATTTTAATTTGCCCATTAGACCTCTCTAAAGATTTCTGACAAACATTCTTTGTGAGGTACTGTAAGTTTCATAATTACTGCAGCTATTAACCCATTAAAAATACAGTAGTTTTCATTCTAATTTAGAAACTTCTCTCACCTACATGAAGAATCAAAAACTAGTTTTCACTGTCACCAGGTACAGATTCTATGTTTACAAGAAAACCAAATGCTACATCAATAGACAAAGAAGATATTCTTGCAGATATCTCTGAGATATAAGAATTCTACAGCTTCATTTGGTACAGTGTACAAACTACAGGCACAGATAACCTCACTAAAAAGATCCTTTCCTTTACCTTCTCTGGCAAGATTCTATACATAATTAAATTTCAGTTTACTCCTTGAACCTGGCCACTTGACTTGTAAGTAACAGAGATTTCAAAGACAGCAGTATTCTAAATTAATGATTTTCAAGCTCTGAACTTAGTCGCAATTCTTTTGGGGGATAAAACTAAAATGAAGTTGTTGAAGGCCAAAGTCCTGGCTGACAGAGGTCATGTAAAAAAAACTAATAAATTTTGCCTCCCTTTCTTTTCCTTATGCAGATTAGAAAGCATTCAATTGCTATCATGTTTGTTCTCCTAGGCAGGCAAATGTAACTGTACATAACCCTTGTTCAGGTGGCATAAATTAATGCTAATGACAAAAAGATCCATATCTTTCCTCCTCTTGAGCAGATCCTTAAGAACTGTTGCATCCCTCCCTACACTTTCTTTATGTAGGTTCTCTTTTCTGTTTTTCAGGGAATATTGACTATGAAATCAATGAAATTTTCCAGTAACAAATTTTCATCCAAACGCAACCAGTTTCATTCACATATCACAAAGGACCTATCCACACAATTCTGTGCGCAGCAGAGAATCTGGTGATATCACTTCTTTCCAAAATGCCAAATGTTTTATCGAGGAACAGACCTGATGAAAGACTAATAAAAAGAACAGTTCACAAAAAGCTTCTGTAAATAGCTGTTAATCAACATAGCTTGTGTTACTGCTAAACATCCAAAGACTCTCTGACAGCATAAATATCATTTTTGCTCATTTTCTGAGACTTTTTCCCATACTTAGTAGGGTATATGTTTCCCCACTGGATGCTAGTAGACAGCATTTTACTTTGAAGTCAACTCTGCCA